TACTTCATGTCACCAAAATCACATATATTACAAAAATATGGAACCGAAATTACTTGTAATAACAGACTTCCGTCCGCATATCTTTTAGATGGAGATTGGTTTGGATTAAGTCCACATTTAGTTGATGTCAAAAAACCACAAACCTTAAAACCTGAAATAAAATTTACATGGAATTACAAATCTCCAAAATATCTCATGTCCGCAGGCATTTATAATCGTGATGTAATGCGAGCATTACAAAAACATTTAATGTTCGCTCAAAAAATCACAGCTATACAAAATAACATAGTTCGTCAATCATTAGGATATGAAGTCACTAACCAATTAAACCTACACAAACTTATAGATCCAACAATTATAAGCTCAATGGTGGAAGATAAATTACATCAAATGTGGGGATGGTTTACGTATTTTGGTTCTTTAATGTCTGGTATACTGGGTGTTATATTTATAATTAAGATTGTTACTATTATTATAAACACTTGCATGAATATTCAATTATTATATAACATATTCGGTTGGAGTCTTAGACTATTTTATGGCTTATTTAATAATATCACTCATTACTTTATGCACCAACATCACCAACAAAATTACAGAAATAATGTTGAATTAATTAATAATAATCTACCTGTTGTAAGTCTTTATGCACCACAGGTAACAGCTCCAACTTTCGTTTATCCAAACTTACAAAGATCAAATCCATAAAATGACAAACAATGCAGAAGATATCGCATTCATTCATTATACTTATCCATATTACAATAATCAACCAATAATGACAATATATGATCCAAATAAAACCTATGATATTTCAAAATTCTACTCGTGGCGTTATGGGAAAATGGTGTACCTATTTCCAAAACCCATAAAAAAGTCATACAAACGTAATAAGAAGACAAGAAAAAACAATCAAACACTTCAATAATATTTCATGTATTAATTGTTATTATATATATATACTTATTCTCTAATATTGCCTAATATTTCATGAAATTATAATTTATTTTAATACTTAAAGTCATTAAACATGATATATAACAGACTAATGCACACAAGATCTAATCCATTATGCTTATCATCATTACAAGTTTTCTATTATCTATAAAAAAAAATTAATAATAATAATAACAATAAAAAAATCATCAATAACAAATAATTATACATTCATGTTCTATAATACAATTTAATTAATTTTCATCCCTTTTAATATTTAGGCATTTATATCAACAATAATCAAAACAATCCATAATGAATAACCAAGCATTTTCAACTAGAAAAATCAGACTTAGCTACCCTCCACTATTACCACATACACCGAAAAAAAATAACGACCCACATTATAAAAAAATACCACAAATATCTAAATTAAAAATCATTAGTAAAAATCTGTTTATAACACTTATATGGGACTTAAAATTCAGTACAAATAATGCTAAAATAAAATATTTTGAAATATTTATATACGCAGAATACAACATTATATCCGATATTTCTATGTGGACAAAATTTATAATAAAACCTTTACCATTACCTATGGCTTCTGAATTCCTCGCCTTTCAATTCGGTTGTATATATTATTTTGCTATTAGAGCACTAGATGAGCATGATCGATACACATCATTTACCCAAACACAAATATTTATACAATAATTATTTTACATAAAATAATATCTTATTATTACTTGTTTAATCGATATTTACTTAAATGACAATACATTAATCATACTTATGTAGTTATTAATATATTTTGTCATTATAATTATTTTATTATTCTCATTATTCTCATTATTATTATTATTATTATTATTATATTCTTTTATTACTCAAAGTAATCATACATGTATAAAACCTTATACTTTAATCACATATAATATCATGCTATTATCACATACAATAATTGTTGTGAGGACACAAGATTTAAAAAATTGGGGTGGATGTTATAATACATACACCACTCATTATTCAGTAGTATATATGTTAGTATCTATTAGTCATCAAATTAAAAATATCATTCATGTTAATACTTTAAGCTATTCCAAGAAATATGTCTAAAAATACATTGATATAAATCTACTGTAATAATTATAAGAAATTCTTTAGTTGTGACAAATTATCTATTTTAAGTAAAATAATATGTAATAAATAACACAAATTGAGTAATAAACAGATAATAGTAAAAGGTCGTGACACTTCTTGCATAGATAGATGAATTAAATTTAATATAAAAGGGCATAAAAACTGTCAATCTCTATCACTACTACTTCACCTTATGAACTTTCAACGAATGCAAGAAGTGGCTTGACAAAATACGATTTTACATAGAAAATTGAAGTATATTCATTTCTTTCAACATTAGTCCTGAAATTATTAAGGTAAATTCCTATTCAAAGTAAATATAATGAGTACATAAATTAAGTAGGAAACCAGAAAAAGTAATGTAGTATAATTATTAACACATGTACTAAATATCACATATATATGAATAAAGCCATAAATCATCTAAGGAATATTTCCCTTTTAGGGTAATAAAAATAACTGTTTATCAACACATGTTTCAAACCAGTCTCCTACATTCATTAACTACGCCCACGGCAGGGTTTCTATCACAATTAACCAATCACAAATAATTATCCAACATCTTAGGAATTTCAATAGAGATCGCTGGCTTACTTCATCCGGCGTATAAAAAGCCATTTTTTCTCGTAAAAACTCTCTTTCTTCTGGACTTCTCTGGACTTCTTTTGACGATTTTCTGCGGCAGCGACTGCGACGACTACCCTCTAAATATTCTCTTACATGGAATCTGCGTCAGTATAAGTAAATATTTTGTCCCTGTGACTTAGTTTTTTTNCATGGAATCTGCGTCAGTATAAGTAAATATTTTGTCCCTGTAACTTAGTTTTTTTTTTTATATGTATCATCCTAAGTGGTGAACATTGTCTTAGATGATTTATTAATATTTTACAGAGGAACAAGTTTTTATTTATTTTATTATCACCTAATGTTCTCACGACAAATAGACACTATCTCTATTTTTATATAAAGTTTTTAAATATTATTATGCCCTTCATTTCTGGACAGCCTCAAATGTGCTGAAAAGAGTGAAGAAGCGTAATTTTATTTATACAGGGATAATAGCCTTATACATTATCGTATATTCATAATAAAGCTTATTGTGCCCTACATTTATGAACAGCCTTAAATGTGCCGAACTAAATGAAGAAGCATAATTTGTGATTAGAATTAACTAGTTTTAGTAGTAGTACTTTATGTCTGTGTACCCGCCAGCCTTAAGGGACTATGCCAATTACCTTTCGGTAACGTGTAGGCAGTTGAGGTACAGAGTAGTACTAAACTTATAAAAAGAGTATTTTTGAAGTGCGCTATATCCGTCGACAAGCCAGTTCTAGAGCTAGTAGTCCGGGTAGAGTTCATCATAAAATATATAGTCCGTAAGATAGGAAACTACATCTTGGAAATATTCTCTGCGTGTGTACCCGCCAGCCATAAAGGACTATGCCAATTACCTTTCGGTAACGTGTAGGCAGTTGACGTAAAGGATAATAAAAGGTGTATTGAAATAATATTTTAAATATATTAACGAGGTAACTGTGTCCGCGCCAGCCAAGGCTTTACGCTGAGAAACGCTGGGCCACCACAGTCTTGTTAATTATATTTTGAATATAGATAGACATATTCTTATAATTATATTTTGGCTAGTTCAGAGTAAATTTTAAGAATATCGATATCGACTGTAGGGAATTCATCGAAAATATTATTAGTAAAAACATAGTATAATATAAAAGGAATTTAAAATAAAAGAAAGTGACAAAATTATAATAGACGCAGGTTCCATTGTAGAGAATCCCTCTTTTTTTAAGTTTTATATATACAGAGATACTAATTTATTGAAATAAACGCAAGACAGTATAAACGACTGTTAACACTGAAAGAAGAAATCACCATAAAACCAACTCAATCAATTACTAAAGGAAATAAAGGTAAGTGCGAATATTTATTTGCATGTCTTACTTATAAAAAANAAAGGTAAGTGCGAATATTTATTTGCATGTCTTACTTCTAAAAAAAATCACGTAATAAACAAAAATAGGAATAAATGAGGTAGGGATATTTTATTATTTAATAAATAAATAAAGTTCGACCCCGAGATACGACTCCATTCTTACGATCTTCAACTCACTCATTCTCTTTGCCTCTTTCTATTCTTTCTTTCGTTCTTCCTTCCTTCTTCTTTTTTTTGTTTATTACAGTAAAGTGATCTCTAGAATAAAATATTGTCTAAATAAATAAAGAGAATCAATAACGTTTGTACGAAGTTAGCCAGCCTAGTCTAATCTTTGAGTGGGTTACCTGTGTAGTCAATACTAATAAAGACTCTCTTGCGAAGATAGAGAACCCACTTGTGGTTCCTATACTACTTGAGGTTTTTATTGACTCGACTCACAGTCAGCACAAGCCTAGATAACTACTGGTACGAGTGGCGTTGTTGATTATATATGTGTGATAATTAATCACAATAATTTCTATTTAAAATTATTATTATATTAATAAATTTTCAAACATCACTTTGTTTTTCTATATTTTACATCTTCTAATATACCCTCGTACTCATATTCCGAGAGAAAATTATATTATATCATTTTCTTTATTCAATAAATATTATAGTAACTCAATTATTCTCATGGTCATAAAATACCAATAAATATAAATAATTTTAATAAATTATCCTTTAATTACTAATAAAAATCTTCTTAATAATTTTCTCCTTTTATTTTGAGTTACTATAAACTTACAATTTTTTATGCTTAATAATACTATNACTTACAATTTTTTATGCTTAATAATACTATTTTTAAAAAGTTTTTCTTAAAAAAGAATGTGTATTAAGGCGCACATATTTTTTGTAGGCTTAACCATATAGCTTTTTGTTGTGGCTATGTAATGCAGTATTTAAACAAACTTAAAAATAAAAAAACTTTCACAAATAATTTTTTTATTTTAGTTTAAAATTTATTCGATGTACAAAATAAAACTATAAGTAAATGTTATTCTATGAACTATTTTAAAAAATAGTAATAAATGATTTATAAAAATTATAAAAAAATAAAACTAAAATAAAATATAAAGTCTTAAATTAAATGAGTTTTATTAATTTTAAATATTCGAATCCAAGTATCACTTATAAAGCATTATATTTTGTTTATGAAGCAGTCGTCGGTTATACAGTTTGATTTTATCTTTTTTGGTCAGTTTAACCAGACAAAAATCCTCCATCTACTGGAATTGACACACCATTAACATATGTTGAGTAGTCACTCAATAAAAACAACATGACATTAGCCACATCGTCACATTCTAAAACCAATAAAAGATCATTAGTCAAATTAGAAAATAACAAATACCAAAGTTATCTTTGAGACTAAAAATAAAAATTTTCTCTAATTATTATTTAAAAATATATAACGGTTAAGATTATAAAAATCAAATTGGTTTTAAAAATAAAACTATTCTATAACCAACAATATTCTCAGCTTTCATTAAAAAATAACTGCAATTAACTGTTAAGATAATTAACTCAAATATATTCATGTAATAACAGAAAAATTAATAATTAAATGATACTGATATCGTTATTTGAAACACTTGATAAAAGCCATACAGCAAGTAGTTAATGTATTTTTAATGAAAGAATCTATACGTTTTAATAAATAATGCGAAAATTATGTAATACTGAGCATAAAAATAAATTCAAAAACAAAACACAAGATATAATTATTTACAAAAAATACTTCACAAAGCTTAGAATAAACTTATAACATTAACAATTAAAAAATAGCTTGTTTTCCATAATAATAATTATTAAAATTGTTATAAAATAATTTATTTGAAAGTTTTTCTTATTGTAATCAAATCATTATTTGGAATAACAATTTATTTCTATGTAAAATGAATTATTATAAAGATTAATTTTTACCTGCAAATCTTCCAAGAGGAATTCTGCTTAAAATTGGATTGGACTTGGCTGGATCAGACCATGCCTTAATTCCCATCTTGGTCATAACAACCGTAGGGTTAACACTGTTGCTACGAATACCATGAGGACCTAATTCTACACACATTGTTCGAGTGACTTGATTAACAGCTCCTTTTGATGCGCAATATGATGTGTGATCTGGAATAGCTCTCTAAAAGAAAAATAATCAATTAATATTTTTTATATAAACAATACCCATGACTAGGATACGGAATAATTTAATAATTATATTTTAAATAATATTAATACATTTCAATAAAAATAAGAGAATCGCGTTTCGATACACCCATTTTATTAGCATTTACAACTAGTTCGTTCATAAATATTTATGAATTAACTAATTTCCAGTGAATTCATGCAAAATACTAGGTGATTTCTTATTTCATACACGGAAAACATTTAGTTCTCTATTTATTGTTAATAACCCAAAGTTCCTTAAAAAGTATTGGTCATAACACTTAATAAATCACGAATAAAAATAATAGTAATAATATCAGATTTTTCAACAAATTTTATTCAAATGATACATGTCAATAAGTCAATAGAAAAAAATATTCAACTATACAATTTTTAATAACTTAATGACAATTATTAAAAAAATTATCTTTTTTCAACCCATCAAAAAATATACTTTTTGCATATTTTATTGAAAGTTTTTCCAAATTGTAAATTAACGTTAAATGTTCAGTTAACTAAAGTTCATAACAATTTTGAAAATTCATATAAAATATTGAATTTGTATTGTAACAAGAAGTAAGATGAAACAATGAGTTTGATTAACCATCACTTGTTAAAACACATGCTACCTACTGGTCAACAAAAAAAAAATGATTAATTGTCAAATTTAATTTATAAATTATTTATTAATTAAAAGTTATTATAACTTTACATAGAATTTCTAGCGTTATGTAATATTATAGCTGCATACAATTTCTATAACAGGTATTATTTACGACGGTATTTACAACATTACCATCCCACCCAAATGATCGACTAATACTTCTATAAACTAACAACAACAATAATTACTACTACTAAAAAATCCTATTCACAATTTTGTCGAAAACATCATAAAATTTATTGTTACATAATAAATCTAGCCTTCTGTATGTAACAAAAAATTAAGTATTATATTTTTCTAGTTATTCAGTTATATTTATTACTTCAGATATTGTAGAGGAAACGTTAACAATAGATCCTTTGATTCCAGCTTCTATCATGTTCTTAGCAACAGCCTGGCTGACTCGAGCAACTCCTCTGGCATTTACATTAAGAGTACTAAAAAAAACAAATGTCCCGCTGTGAATACTTTGTTAGTAAATAATAGCAGCTACTCTATAGATTCTGATTCTTGTTATTTTGGTTATAGATATCTGGCAAAACTGGTTTTTTAGTCTTTAACAACAACACACCCATCTTAAATAATTTAGTATACATGAATAATAGTTGTATCTCAAGCGTTATTATATCCTAATAACAAAATGTTTAGGATATTTGTTAACCAAATTATAGAAATAGTGATTACAAGTTAAAAATTCCAAGTAATTAGTACGTTTTTTTAAATATTATTAAGAAATATCTTTATGAAAACTAAACGATTTGCTTTAAATTTTTAACTTAATTATATAATTTTTTATTAATAATAACTGTTTTTAAACATAATGAAAATTAAATTAATTTATATTTTTGTTAAGTTATTGCGACTACACCATTAACCAGTATAAACTTGTGTTAATTAATTTAAAAAACATAATGAGTTGTAATTTTGGGAGAGATTAAGGGGGGTTTATATTATTCTACAATGAAATCTATTTCTATGTTACTACATAATCCTATGAAAAAGTTTGCACAAACTTGAGACCCTTAAAAGTGGTAGTAAGAACAAAATGTCTAAATACATATAATTCCCAGTCTCGATAACGACTCTTTTGAACCACAATACAAAAAAAATTGTGGGCGTTAAATCACGATTTAAATATAAATTAATATAGAAAAATTAAATATAAAAGTATGGAAAATTGTTAAAAAAAATAATGGGATAAATTTTTAATAAGAAAAAACGGACTTCCGTGATGCTAAAATAATTAAAAGCAACTTACGTGTCCCATCCTTCTTGTGTCATCTCGAAAAAAGATTCTATGAATGCTACTCCGGCATTATTTACTAAGCCATGGACTGGTCCCAGGGCTTTAATGGTGTCATAGGCATCCCATTTACCGACGTCAGCAACTACTGGAGTTAGATTAGAAGAAGCTGGTGGAAGTTTCTTGGGATCACGTCCAACAGCAAACACATGGGCTCCCATATTTACCAAACGGTTAGTAATGCATTCTCCAATACCTTAAAATACAAAAAATTTTGTTATTAATTTCATTACTTACATTACTTGTTTTGAAAACAATATAACTCCATAGAATATTTAATAAATAATACAAAATTAGTTTTCTAAGAAAAACTTCCAATGAAAATATATTCAAAAATACTTTTAACAATAATCAATTATCAATTTTAATCACTTTCAGGAAAATCATTTTTACATCAATATTCAACAAATTCAGCGTGGTATTTGATTGATTATTATAATTCTAACCTATTTACAAGGGAAAAGTTCTGTTCGAATGTCATTATTTCTTTTTTTATAAAAGTTTTAAAAAATTGTTAACTATTTACCCTTATTATAAATTTTAAATTTAAATATTGTTTAAGTTAGAAAATTGTTACTAGTTTATCGTTTTTATCATTTAATCGTACAAAATATAAGAATTTATTTTTTTTGTTAATTAATAGAAACGAAAATATAATTTTAAAATCATATAATAAACTAAAATAGTATTCATGAAAAATGTATCAATCTAAAGATAGATATAATATTATTAAAATAGAAATTTCTTTTATTACGAAAATTGTATTGATAAATAAAGCTAAATGTAAGAATATAAATTAATTAATGAGTATTTAAATTAAAAAAACCCAATAAATAACTTATAAATCTTACAAAATTAGTAAAGAATATCATGGTTTGGGAATTTTTCTAGCAATTATCATTCCGATAAGGTATAATTATACTATGATAATGTAAATTTAACAAATTTGGATTGTTTACACAAAATTAAGTAAAATTAAAACCTAGAATTTTTTTTCAAACTTTATTTGAATAATAAAGTAAGAGTAAAATGTTCCAAAAAAAATTTTAATTGTAATACACGTCAAAGATAAATAGACTAATGAGTTAAAAATTAATATTTTAAATAAATAAAAATATTAACCGGTCTAAAGGAAGTTTACCTGCGTTAGCACCCGTAACGATGAACTTTTTTCCTTTAAAATATTGTTCGAATGGAACGATTGGAGCAGTCATGTTTACTTGTCTACTTGTACTGGAATACTAAACATATTGTATCGTCTACCCGTTTCAGGTTTACTATGCAGCGAGTTATGCTACTAATGAGTATATATAACTACACGGCACAGTGTTATCTGCAATACAAAAAATTAGAATATTTCTATAAACAAGCAAAAACTGATGAACGAACACTGGACGTGTTACGTCAACCCAATATAATAAAGAGAGGAAAGGTCGAAGTCTAAAGTATTGTTGTTCCATTACGATCTCTGGAGGTCAAATGTTCCAACTTGATCAAACTTATCATCCAGTGTATCTTCTGAACTTTAATAATTTCAAATCAATTAAAACCTATTTAAATATTATAGAAAAAAAATTATATCTTTATAATATATTTATTAATAATATCTGGTTGTTTTCAAAGTATTTTTATAATTAAGTAAAAAAAAAATCGCACAATGGATCAACCAACAGGTCAGAGCGCTTGAGCAGTTCTTGACTATCTCCTTAATAACTAAAACTATAATTATGCAAAATGATAAATATTGACTTTTAGCTGATACGTTCATTCATCTTTATAATTTTTTGCAACGAGGCTTTTTAATTCACTTCAATATTATTTACAACCGTACATGGTTGTAATTAAAAACCTCAGATTCTAAAGTTAATATTTTAATTGACTTTTTACTTGAAAAAAAATAATATGCATAAATTTTAACCTGACATTTTAAATTATATAATCAGGCCAACGACATTTAAAAAAATATAAATGTATGAAAATAAAATCGATCTACAAATAAAATAATTCGCAAACAAAACATGTTAACTATAATGAACTATTCAACACAGATACAGTTTTTTTTTTGTAAAAGTAATAAAATACAATAGTATGTTTTGTAGATTGCACATTTTTTTTTAAACACAAAATGTACAATTTTTTTGAACCTATAAAATAAAATTTATATATCTAGTATTTACATTTCTATAAGTTAAGTTCATTAACTTGTACCTATTACATATTAAGACCTATAATTAAGGGGTTATGTAATATATATATATATATATCCAATATGTACATTACTTACTAGGATTAGGACCTTTAAAAACTTTTAAAATTATGCTATACAAATGCCTTAAAAAAATATTTAAACTTTTTTATATGCATTAACTTGATTTTGAATTAAATATATTATTAATTGTTAAAAAGTATTTTACATTTTAGTAAGCACAATTGAAACAAAATATTTGAGAACTTATATTATATTATATAACTTATAATATTTCTTTCCTCTTTAAAAATAATTTTATATATTTTTTAAATTAATTTTGTTTCAAGTAATAAATAAAAATATTTTTGTAAAAAATTCGTTTAAGCTAATTTTAGTTAACATAGATAATTTAAAGCACATTATATTAAAATAAAAATTGAAAAAATGTCACCTTAAAATAAAATAATTTATCCAAAAATTCTAAAGTTTTATTAATATAATTTAACGAATAATAAAGAAAAACATAATTATTTAATTTTTCAAATATTATTCAATGCATTTATAAAAATAATAATAAATAATTGAAATATTTGAGTTTTATTATAAAAAAACCCAGCACAGGGGGGTCGCGGCACAGTGGTGACGTGGCATAGTTGGATCAAGTAAATGATATCTGACAGTGATTAAAATCACTATCAAAAATAAACGCTTCGATGCAAATCTTTAGATAGTGTTTAATTTTAAAAAAATTGGTGTTTTATTCCAAAAGCTACTTGATCTGCTGGTTCCTTATTAATATCTCGATTAAGATAAAGTATGTCGAATGAAAAAGGGTTTATTAAAAAATATTATTTCTCATAAAAAAATTGTGTGGATCCATAAACTTTTCAATAAGTTATAGCATTATAAAGTTAAATATAATATAAATGATAAAATCGAGAATTTTCACACGAAAATAGCATTCAGTAGCCATTTTCACCGTGAAGACAAGTCCAGAGGTCAAATTTTTTTTTTTCAAATTAAAGTACATTACATTAGCTTTAATTTAAGATATATATAAAAGTGTCAGACCTTCCGGAACATTTTCAAAAGTTAAGTTGAAAAAGTTAATTTTTTGTGAAAAAGTTGTCATTTTAAATCCCCCCCTGTGGGCAGTTTAAGTGTCAAATTTACAAAAAAAATATACCAAATGATAGGTAAAGACATCAAGCATCTATATAAAAAAAAGTTATATTCATACGTTCATTTTTGAAAAAGTTACGGCAGTTTTTAGTAAAAAAAATTGAAAAAATTTCGAAAATTAGCGATTTTTAAATTTGTAATTTTTTTGGAG